CTGGGTGGTTGCAGCAGGTTTTGGTCACTTCACATGACCCTGGGACACTGTGACCATCATAAATATGAATCAGTTGCCAAGCATCTGAATGTAAATCACAAGACCCTGGAAAGGCTGCAACATTCCAGCTGATCGGCGCTTCTTCTGGGCTCAGCAGAAGCGCCAGGATCAGCGCCGAGTTCCAGCTGGAGCCTGGCGCTGATCCTGGCGCTTCCACTAAGCCCTGACAGTCCTGAAGAAGCGCTGATCCTGGGGCTTCCGCTGAGCCCTGACAGCCCTGCAGCTCCAGCCGTCTCTCGCTCAGGCTTGTGCAGTGCTGCCACCGGTTCAGCTCATTCCTCTCCCCTGCTACCACTTTTCTAGGATGGTCGCGTACCACCTGCCAGGTGCGAATGTACCACAGGTGGTACCCGTACCACTGGTTGAAAAGCCTTGATCTAAGCCACGCGTGTGCCAAATTCCGTTGCAACGGTTATAGAAACCAAAGACTATTAAGAACTGGCAACCATTTTTTTTTCTTTTTCCCTCCCCGTTCTTCTTTCCTCCTGTGCTGTGTCTTTTTACACTGACAAGCCTGAAGGCTGCTTTGCACTGCTGCAGAATCCATAATGGCAACTGTTTAAGTGGAAGGGTGGGCTAGCGAAACTTTAAAACAAGTATTAAGCATCAAAGCTGGCAGGACTAGACATCACTCCAGAAGACAGGCTTAAGATACAGAAGGATCTTGACAGAGACTTGAACATCGGGTACTATCTAACAAAATGAAATTCAATGGTGAAAAAAGTAAGGTTCTACATTTAGGCAAGAAAAACCAAATGCACAGGTTTAGTATCGGTGGTACCTGGCTCAATAGTAGCAACTGTGAGAGGGATCTCGGAATCCTAGTGGACAATCGCCTAAATATGAGCCAGCCACGTGCTGCAGCTGCCAAAAAAGCCAATGCAGTCCTAGGCTGCATTAACAGAGGGAAAGAATCAAGATAATGTGAAGTGTTACTACCACTTTATGATGCCTTGGTAAGGCCACACTTGGAATAATGCACCAGCTTTGGTCGCCACAATGTAAAAAAAATGTTGAGACTCTGGAAACAGTGCAAGAAAGATCAACAAAGATGATTAGGGGACTGAAGGCTAGAACTTATAAAGAGTTGCTGGAATTGGGTATGTCTAGTTTAATGGAAAGAAGGACTAGGGATGACATGATAGTAGTGTTCCAATATTTAAGGGGTTGCCACAAAGAAGAGGGGGTCAATCTATTCTCCAAAGCACCTGAAGGCAGGACAAGAAGCAATGGATGGAAACTGATCAATGAGAGAACCAACCTAGAACTAAGGAGAAATTTCCTAACAGTGCAAACAACTAACCAGTAGAACAACTTGCCTCCAGAAGTTGTGGATGCTCCAACACTGGAAGTTTTTAAGAGATTGGTCATCCATTTGTCTGAAATGGGTATAGGGCTTCCTGCCTGAGCAGGGGGTTGGACTAGAAGACCTTCAAGGTCCCTTCCAACTCTTGTTATTCTGTTAAATATGGGGAAACAGCCAACCTATCTGTCCCAAATTGGACAGTTAACTGTGCAAACCCATACAGAATTAGCCTCTGCCAGAATTGTGAGTCATATTGATACAGCTATGCTGACTCAGGAATTCTGGGAGTTGAAGTCCATGAGTCATAAAAGAGCCGAGGTTGCCTACCCCTGGCCTAGGCATTACTTCCCTGCTCATCGGGACCTTTAATTGTTTAAGTTCTGTCTCATGGCACCGAATTTGGGAACTCTCTTTGTTTGACTCAGCAATGTTCTCGCTAGCTCCCAAGTGCCAGATGGGTAATGCTGTTCTTACCATCTTCTTCCCCTATTTTCTCCTTGGCCTGTTACAGCCCAGTTCTTTCTCTGGCGAGTGACAGTAAATCAATCTAGAAGACATTGGAAAAAATTAGCAAATGTGTGTTGCAGAACTTACTTACCTCATCCTGGCCCAATTCACAATGAAGCCCAATGAAAACCCAGTAAATCTGTTAGTTTTGGGTCTATAATTTCATACACTTAAAACACAGATCAACCTTGCAGATTTCTTTGTTTGAGCCCTTCTCAGCTATAAATACAAGTAGTCTCTGACTTGCAACGATTCGTTTAGTGACTGCTGGAAGTTGTAACAGCGATGAAAAAAGCACCCCCCCCGGGGTTACAAGTTCAAAATTTGGGCGTTTGGCAGTTGGCATATATGTTATGATGGTTGCAACATCCCAGGATGATGTGATTGCCATCTGCAACCTGCCTAGTCAGCTTCTGCCAAGGAAAGTCAATGGGGGCATCTGAATTACCTTAAGCACCTCATGATCCCTTTCACAACTGCAGCAATTAGCTTAACAATTGTGGCAAAAAAAAGATAGGAAAATTGGGCACAACTTAAAACTGCCTTGTTTGGCAGTGGAAATTCTTGTCCCAGTTGTGGTTGTGAGTTGAGCACTACCTGTATTAACAAAAACCCGTCTTTTTTTCTAAGTTCAAGGCAACTAAATCACTAAATATTTGCAGTTTGGAGATAAATCATACCTGGATAGAAATAATAATAGTGATAAAAATGGCATAGAATCCCACATTTTTCTGTATTCTAATGGTGAATTCATTCTGCAAGAACAGGTCAGTGTCACAGCAACGGAAAGGAAAGGACAGGGTCTGTGAGGATGAAGCCTACAGAAGCACAAAAGGTATTAAAATATACCCTTATAAAAATCCATCCTTTTACAGTAGTGGCCAAAATTGTGGAAACCTTTTGGGAAAAGTGTACAGTAGAAATGCCACCTTTGGTTAAGTTTCCACCAATTTTTCTTCTAATTTCTTTATAACTGTAGCCTTATTCACTTAATAATACTATTTTACATTGCTTTCTGGGCAACCAGTCAACTCTTTGCACCCTTACTTTAATTTTATTATGTTTTACAAGCTCAGTAAATGAAAGAACACAAAAAAAACCAACGAACGTGATAGCGATCACATAACACACTGACAAATGTCCTCCTCTCAGCTTCAATACATGACATCAATAACTGAATCCTACTGTGATCTGACTGGCTCATTGCCAAAACAAGATGACACCTAATTGGCTCTCTAAACACTCATGCTCATTGACTACAATCAGATGAAGGAAAGCTACCTGATATCAACTTAAGCAAGTTGTGCTTCCTTTTTCTGGTTATTTGGCTATAACTTTTCAGAGAATACAGTACAGATAATTGAACAAACTTCGTTGCATTACATTCTCAATTAAATTATCTTTCCATTGATATATAATTTTATGGTACTACTCCAAAATAAAAGTGGTGTTATTAGCCATCAAACCTCAAAAATACACTTTTCCCAAAAGGTTTCCACAATTTTGGCCCCTACTGTACAATCCTTACATTTAAAACCCCCTTTCAAAGGCCACTCCGGGCCGTCCTAGCATTAGCAGAGCCGCTCAGATGTCATGTCATGTTCAATTAAAATTAAAACATGTGGATTTTAGAATTTTAAAAAATGCTGAGAAACAATGCAGTTGCTTCATAGGAAACACATGTTCAGCTTTATTGGAACAAAAAAAAGTCACATAAGGACTTAGGGGAATAGGCGATGGGTGGCCTTCGAAATGTTAGCCTGCAGCTGCAAATCTCCCCTTATTGGCCAAGACTATGTAAATTGGAGTTTAACATCTGGAGAGTCACACCGCCATAACCCTAAGTTAAACAAGCTAATATAGTTACTAGATTCTATTAACCGAAAAGGAAAATGAACTAAAAGAGAGAGAGAGAGAGAGAGAGAGAGAGAGAGAGAGAGAGAGAGAATGAATTTTCATGGACTGAACTGATTTAGCCTTTTTACGATGTTTATAGAGCACCCCCATCCATTTTTGCATATTACTGTTTTACATGTGGCTTTCTTCCAGGTTGTGTATAGAGGATTTCTCAACCTAAAATGCTGGCTGGTGAATTCTGGGAGTTGAAGTCCATTTATCTTAAAGTTGAGAAATACTGACTTAGAGCTTCTTTTTCCATCTGCCAGCCTTAGTAACCAACAGTCAGATGATCCACTGGAGTCCAAAATAATCTGGAGATCAACCAGGCCAGGGAAGGCAACCAGGTTAATGTCAAGTATTGCAGCTTTAAAACATGACGAATATAATGCAGTATTGTAAGGTATAGCAGGAGGAAATACAAGCATGAAGCACGTACACCATTGCTTGCATCGTGATGTTTTCTATATCTTTTTTGAATATAATGTCCACAATTCATCCCCATCACGGAAGCTGGCGGGGCTGAAAGCTGTTGAACTCCCAAATCTATTAAAGGGCACAACCTGCCATCTGCCGAAACATCTGAAATGTCAAATCCACGGTCCACATAGCAGAAGAATGTGATGCCTGTAGCCTTCCAGATTCTGTTGGTTCTCAAACTCTTATCAACTCTAGCCATCATTTATGCTGGTTTGGGTAAGTGGGAACTGACCCAAAAAACAGTCAGGCTAGGGCAGTGATGGCAAACCTTTTAGAGACCGAGTGCCCAAACTGCAACCCAAAATCCACTTATGTATCGTCGGGTGCCGGGTAGGCGTGGGCCTTTGGGTGGGCGTGGGCCTTTGGGTGGGCATGGCCTCAGTGGTAGCGGCAAACTGGGCGGGACTAAAAAGTTCAATCAATCAATTCCAATTTTATGAGATCTTATTTTTCCCCGCAAGAAGTTGAAATTGATTGATTGAACCTTTTTTTTTTTTTTTTGCACACGGTGGTGGAGGCCTAAAGAGAAAAGATTTTATAAAACCCAGCTGAAGGCCTAGGACTGGGGTGACAGTGCGCGTGCCCACAGAGAGGGCTCTGCGTGCCACCTGTGGCACGCGTGTCACAGGTTCGCCATCACGGGGCTAAGGGAAGGAAGATACACCTGGAACTCATGGACACAGCTATTTATTGATTTTTTTAAAAAAAAAAATTCCAATAGAAAAAAAAATACAAATTAAGTCTTTAAAAAAATCCCCCAAAATATCTTACAGACCCTATAAAGGTATCGTCATTTCTTGATTAGGTGTATTTTTTTTCCATGCACTCTTTCTTCAACATCCCCAGATGTTCAGGCTTTACCAGCTTCCTGGAATTTCTTCAGCAGAGGTTCATCTGCTCGGACAGGAAAGGTCAAGGGGCACTTTTGATAATACTGGGAGTCCAGCTCCAGATGATACATCACATCGGAAAGCAGGAGAGCCCGCTCAACAGAGCACCCCGGTGCATCGTAGCTCAGGGCAGTGAAATGCACGTGAAGGTGGAAATAGGATGGCTGGTAATGCAAGTAAACTCTCACTTGGGTCTTTGCAAGGCCAAAGCGCTTTTCTATGGCCTCCTACAAGAAATGGACAATCAGTTAATGTTCGTATTAAAAACAGACAAATACTTAGGAACTGTTCCACTTAATGACCATGTTGCTGGTCCTAACTGTGGCTGCTAAATGAGGACTACCTGTAAGGCAAAACTATAGGGTAAATGACAAAATGTACTGAATGAGGCATGGCACAGAGAAAACGGACTTAGTTATTTATTTTTTTTCTCATTCTCTAAAACTCTGGAATCTCAGGTCATCCCAGGAAGGCAAACATACGATGGAATTTATTTCTGCTACCCCCACTGACAGCTAACTGGATGGCTTTAAATGCCTACAGTAACCGCTATAGGTAGGGTGGACTCTCTGTTATTTGAGAAGGGACATGAGTGAGAGAATAATTATGTGCTTGTGTCTCCTTTTGGTTGCCCACCCTGGAAACTGCATTTCAAACTGGATAATCTTTGGCCTGATGCAACAGCTATTGTCAGCGTAAGCAGAGGGTTATTTTTTTTAAAATGACTTTGCCACTTGAGCATATCACTCTATCTAACACTCATCCTAGACAGGGAAACTCCTGAGATAAGGATCGGAATTGGTCTCATTAAGAAAAGATAATCCCTTGCAGCAGTTTTTCCCAGCCTGGTGCATTCTGGGTGTGCTGGCCCCGAATTCCTCACCAACATTGGTGGTCAGAGAGAATCTACTCATTGTGAACTGATAGCTCTCTTTTGTTGCTCAGGACTTGGATCTACTCCTAACTACGTCCAAGCCCTGTGTGCAGAAATGCCATCGACTCTCCTTCCATTTCTTAGCACTTGAACCCAAATTGTCACAGTTTGCGCCTCCCACCTGCTCTGTTGTTTGCTTAGTTGCCAGCTGCCGATCAAATTAAACACAGGCGGTTAAGTGCTTTGGAAACCCTTAGGCCTGGCTTCTGAAGCAGTCCAAGTGGCGTGCTGTCACATCTCCTCCCCAAACCACAACACAGTGCTTTTGCAACCTACTGTGGTGACTATGGCAGTTGTTTTGAACTGAAGGGTCTACCGCAGGTAACTGTGCAACAGGACCGTTTTTTTTTTTTGCAAAGCAGATCTGCGCACCTCAACCGGCATTCCTCCACTCACCGCAGCCGAGCTGACTCTTTAAACAAGCAGGAGCAAAATTGTAGCTGCCCATGGGCTTGGAAGCCGCTTCCCCCTCAGATTTTCCATTTGAGCCCTTGCTCGCTGGGCACGGTGCCATCCCATTCTGGAAAGACCTCTCTGCAACATCTGGTCCCGAGGAGACGCATTTCGTTTTGCCAGTTCGGCCTGGCATCGGCCAATTCATCACAAGGGGAAATAACTGTGCCCAGAAGACAAGGAAGAGGCGGGGGAGCAGCCAAGGGCTCAGACAGTCTACCAACAAAGGGGTGCAGGGGTGTCAAACTCAATTTCATTGAGGGCCGCATCAGCATTGCGGTTGCCCTTGGGAGGGCGCAAGTGGGTGTGGCCAGGGTGGGTGCGGCCTACTGGGTGGGCGTGGAGGGAGTGGGTGTGGCCTACTGGGTGGGCATGGTCAGCTCTACATCGTTCACGTCAAGGGTGCCTGTGGGGGCCTGGGCAGGAGTGGGACAGATCTGAGGGTCTCTGGCAGAAGGGGGTGGGACCGGGGCAAGTGCCAAGGCTTGGTCCACTGGAGGAGCCTCACTGTTCCTCTCAGGTCATGCGGGGGGGGGGGCTTATGGAGCTAAGACTGAATGTGTTTCAGCATAGATGGCCACCACAAAATTGTACATTGGCTCCCAGCCGGCCTGGGCCAGGGCCAAGGCAGAGGGGGCCGTTCCCTCACTGTTTCCAGGATGGCTTCGCGAGCCCCATGAAACCACTTTGCGGGCCGCATCCGGCCCCGGGGCCTTGTGTTTGACATGTCTGCCATAGTGTCACGAGGTGCCCCCATAAGCAACGAGCTGAATAAATTCAACACGAAAACGCCACAATAAATTACAAAGAGGGCATGCATCCTTCTCGCCTGCAAGCTGCAGCTTCGCCATGCTAATCTGTTTCAGAGGCACATCAGTTGCTGACATGAACCGTTTCCTCAGAACTTCATCGGAAATGAATAAGCAGTTAACGGGAAGAGAAGTAGGATCTCCCACCCCACCCTGGAATTTCCCTTTCATTAACCCGGACTGGGTGCCAACAGAAAGCTAACTCATCTCTCTAGCCAAAAGGAGAGAATTGACCTGCTATTGTACTGCTTGTGTGTATGTAGGGGTATGAGTCGTAAAACGATTCACAGTTTTTATTTTTATTTTTAAGCAAAAAGGAACCTATTTTGAAAGCAAGATTTAGAACAGGGCAAAGCACCTGAGGGTGAAGAAAATACATTGCTAATATTCATCACGTCTTTGTGATTTAAAAAACATTTCCCAAGTTAGACTGACATTTAAAAATAAATCTGAAGCAGTCTGTGTTTTCACTTAGTTTTTACAGATCTATATGAATGCTCTTGAAGATCAAGAAATAGAGCTAGGAAGTTCTAAATATGTTATTTTTGTTCTAGAAATGCAAAAAGACAAAAATAAAACAATAGTGGGCAAATTGCCCATCCATTTTCTCTCAGAAATACAAGATCCTGCAATGGAATTATGAATTGTGAATTATGCTCTGGTTGATTCACAACCTCGGATCTCTGCAGGGAAAATGCTATCTTGAAAACCACGGTCAGAGTTTCTCTAATTACATGCTAATATTGTATATAAGGGAAAGCTATTTAGTTTCACCAACACAAGGAGAATCTGGGGTGATCAGAAAACCTAGAATTAGAAGGGGCAAGAACTGGATGAAGTGAAAGAGATACTCACCCCTCCTTCTTGCAAAATGTTTCTCAGCAAAGGGAGATGCTCAGCCGTCAGATCCCTCACTGATTTGATTCCCCTGCGGTGACAGATGGCGATCAAGTATAAATTCTCAAGCTGTAAATACAGAAGAGGCAGGTGAGGTCAGAGGTGCAATTACATGCTTTTCACGTTTCGCATTGGTCAGTCATAAAGCAACGACATGATTTTTCCCCTGTAAGATTGTATTAGGCCCCGAACCAAGCATTCTTCCAGGCTGAGTTCTTTATTTTTTTCACACCTATAGACAAAATCTTGCCTGACTGGGGACTCTATTATCTACTATCAGGGAGAGGCTGTCTTCACCCTCTTTCTCTGACACTAATATCTGTGCAGAGTTGCCTCTTGCTCCTCTGGGATGCACCCCTTCCCTCCTGGGGATCCACCTCCTCACTACAATCCATCACAGATAGCCACTTCTCCATCATCCCCGTCCATCCCTCAAGATATCTCTCAGAGATGATCATGACAAAACAGAGCTTGGCATAACGTTCACAGGGTTAAGTTCCACATACTGAATCATTACAAAAACTTCACACAAAAACACAACATATCTCATCACTTCAGAGATGATTGTCCGGGGCTGTGAACAAGCAATTTCAATCAGCCAACTTAGTATTAGATAGATAGATAGATAGATAGATAGATAGATAGATAGATAGATAGATAGAT